AGAGTGAGGGGGGGAGGGTGGGGCAGGAACTGGGAGGAGGGGAGTTATGAGGGGAAAAAAGAGGAACAAATGTAATAATCTGAACAATAAAGATTTAATTAAAAAAAAAGAATCAGTCTGCACCTCTGTACTTCACAGTGAGACTGCAAACATCAAATTAACACAGGAAGATGTTTTAAGCTATCAAAGAGAAAAATGCAAGTCACCTACAAAAGAACAACGATTAGACTAAGAGGAAATTTCCCAGAGACAGCACTACAGGCCCAGGTGTAGTGGAATACTGTCTTCACAGTACTGAGCGTCCTTAGCTGTCAAATTAGAAATCTGTAACTTTTAAACTATCATTCAAGAATGAAGGTGAGATAAAGAAATTTTTCAGACAACTTACTAGTAAGATTGAAAGATAAACATTCAAGGACTGAAAGAATTCCCCCCCCAAAATGGTCCTCAAATAGAAATTGAACCCAGAAGTAAGGGAAATGCCAGAAACGGTGGTGGCTAAAGAAACATATTGGTAACTCTAAACAGACATGGGGTGTGGATATGTAGGAGAGACAAAATTCAGGGCCGATTTGAAAACAGGCTGGAATTTAAATACTAAAGAGCAGTAACATGGAAGACGGGGAGCATAGACCAAAGATAAAGTATACTACGTTTCTGTGGCTCATGGAAAGGCTACTGATTAGCTTTAGCTGTCTAAGTATGCAAGTTCACAACTTAATTATTTAAAGAGTAAAAAAAATAAAATGTATACCTTCTAAACCCAGTCCAGGAGCAAAGAGGGGGATTTAAAAAAACAAACAAACTGCATCAGTCCAATAAAAGGAAGAAAAGCAGAAAGAAAGAAGCAAAGGGGGGGATAACATTAAAATGGTAGAAAAAAAATCCAAATATATCAGTAATCAAGATAAATGAAAACAGATTAAAACAGCTTTTCAAATTCAAAGACTTTAAGATTTTTTTAAAATCTAGCCTTTTGCTGTTTATAAGAGACGTGTGAAATATAATTATGTGGGAAGTTTAGAAATAAGGAACTTTACAAAAAGGGCTTACCAGGCAAATTCTAAAGACAGAGCAAAAGAAAGAAAGAGATATGAAAGAAGGGAGGGAATAATGAAGGAATAATATGAGTGTCACTAAAAAATTTTAAGGCAAAATATATTTGGACTAAAGATGGTATTAGTGTACTGGCTGGTGACTCAGTTGGTTAGAGCGTCATGTCCCACACAGCAAAAGGTTGCAGATTCAATTCCCCACCAGGGCACATACCTAGTTTGTGGGTTCAGTCCCCTGTCAAGGTGTGAAAGGAAGGCAGCTGATCAAAGTTTCTCACATCAACGTTTCTCTCTCTCTCTCTCTCTCTCTCTCTCTCTCTCTCTCTCTCTCTCAAAAAAAATAGATATGTGTGTATTTGGAGGATTAAAAATAAAATAATTTTTTTAAAAAAATGTTATTAGTAACAGCAAGAGAAAAAGACTTACAATAGTAAAGGCTTAATAGTAAAGATATTAAGAGACAAATTACCAAACAAAAAAACCCTACATCTTCAGAAAACATTTGAAAAATATTCAGCCTACTGGTGATAATGGAAATGCAAATAGAATCAGCAGTGTGATACCCTTTCAACCCTCATCAGATGGCAAAAAATTTTAAATTGGATAATGACAAGTATTGATGGGGAAGTGGAATAAAGGGACATTCTCATCTCCTGCTGGTTAGAAGGAAAGCGACGTGCACAGATCTGCAGCTCATTGTCTTCGTTCTGTCCCAGAGGAGTGCTCAGGGATGTTCCTTGAGCGTCACTGATAATAGCAGTAAAGAGGAAACAACTCAAGTGCCCACCGGTAGTGGAATGGATTAGCGAATTGTGATACAGTCACACAAGTGAAACTTGTAGCAGTGAAAATGAATGAACTCAGAAGTTATCTGTGCTAAGATGGATACATCTCAGAATTATAACATTGAATAAGAAGTTGCAGACAGAGGTACATATCTAGTTTCAAATTTACTAAAACAAAGCAGTACTGTGTGCTATGTTTATAGATACATACGTGTGCAGTAACAGACACATCTGAGAGAGAATGATAACCAGCCAAAGTGAACGTATCCCTTGAACGAGCAAGACGAATGGGATCAGGGAGGAAGACACAGCAGACCTGAGCTCTGTCATGTTCCATTTGTAATGATGTGAATCAAATATAGTAAACATATTAGCATTTATTTGCATTGTTAATTCTGGATTGTAGATGCATGGGCTCCTGTCTGTGGGTGTGTTTGTGTGAGTGTATGTATTTTAAATACTCCCTTCATTGAAAAGCTTCTGGCTTATGAGAGAGAAAAGAGGTCATCATCCTAATGCAGAGCAGAATGTTCTGAGTTGCATTGTGAGTTCTTTACAAACGGCTTTCAGAGTTGAGATGAGATTTCTGCCAGTTGAACCCAAGAGTGCTTCCAGGAAGAGGTGTCACAATGTTGCTTTCCTACAGATGCCCTGCCTTCAGTTATTCATAAACATCTATCACCCACCATGACCTTTTTTGTTCATTTCTTCGGCCTTTGTAAGTCCTTTCCCATTTTTCACTGTTTTTGTTTTTCACTAATTACATTCTGCTCAATATAAACTAGTAGTTACCCAGGGCCTCCCCCAAATTACTATGAGCCAATAATCTAAAAACCTGTAAGTGATGCCTTATTTTAATGGAAAGAGGAAATAATGCCTTCTGTCATAACATCATGTGGCTTTTTATGACAACATTGGATTTAGTGGAGGAAGAGGATTGGTTGGTTGTTCGAATGAATGGAAACATTTGGCAAACTCTCACATCGCTTTCTCCCTTTACCAGAAAAATTCTAGTCAAGGTTCTCACCTTTTCAAATTGTGTCTAATTTCCCTTTTTAAAGATGCTTCTTCAAACAGTTAACAAACTTATTTCAAGACCTCTGTAAGTGGGGCGGGGGGGGAGGGGGGGGGCCAGTGGAACCAGGATTTGGTCATCACTATCCTGTGTTCATAGCATCCAGCACAGCCCTTCCAGACAGTGAGTGCTTGGTCTCTGCAGACACGGGACGGAAGCCACATCACAGTGGCTTCTCTGCTCTCTGGATGCCCTCACTACAACAGCGCACACCACAGAATGAAAGCACGGCAAGCCATTCCCAGTCACTGGGCAAGGCACCCAGTTTGTTTTTTTAAATATATTTTATTGATCTTTACAAAGAGGAAGAGAGAGGGATAGAGAGTTAGAAACATCGATGAGAGAGAAACATCGATCAGCTGCCTTCTGCACGCCCCCTACTGGGGATGTGCCCGCCACCAAGGTACATGCCCTTGACCAGAATCGAACCTGGGACTCTTCAGTCCACAGGCCGACACTTTATCCACTGAGCCAAACCGGTTAGGGCCCAGTTTGTCTTTAAAATGCACATCTGCTCTGTGTTGACACCCAAAGGAAGACTCTGACTTAAACCGAGCTCGTTAGGGTGCCTGGAGCTGCTGGACTGGGTTTGACAAGGAACCTTGTTTCTCAGACCTTTTTTCCCTTTTCCTTGGCAGAGAGAAGATGCACCAGTCCGCCATGTATGAGCTGTGCCAGGGCATGCACCAGGTCAGCCTGCAGTTCGTCCGACTGCAGCTCACCTTTGAAGAATACACCCTCATGAAAGTGTTGCTGCTGTTAAGCACAGGTAAGCGATGCCCGCCCAGGCACCTCTCCACCTGGTCAGGTCATCTCCCCTTTGGGGAGTAGCCTACGGAGAGTGTCAGGTAGTTTGTATAAAAAGGAACAATTTGAGGAGCTGGGAGGAGGGCGTTGGTCTTTGATGAGCTAGGTAACTTGCAGAGGCTAAGGTTTGGGACATATCAAAGAGCACGTGCCTTCAGTCCTTCCTTCATCCGACCTCACATGTTCACTAGGTGTCTGTGATGTGTGTGGTGGGATTGGGCAGGTCAGGAACGATTGGGTAACTGAGGCAGGGTCTCTGCCCTCGGGGAGTTTTACTATAAGGTAAGTTTAGACATCACTGCAATACGTGTGGAAGGGACTGGCTACTATGATAGTGTCATGGTGGCTCATGAGCGGGAAGGGCATGGTCAGCTCTGGGGGCCAGGGAGAGGGACTCAGGGGGAGCGGATCTTAGGGAGGGTTCTGGGTTGGCTATGAGGAAGGAGATGGCATTCCCGGAAAGGAACCGGGTGAGCGAGTGTGGAAATGTGGCAGAGCACTTCAGGCAATAGCACTTACTTCTGGGGAGTTGTGTTGTTAATTTTTAATTTTTATTGTACTTAAGTCTTTAATTTTCCAAGGTGCATCTGGTTACATTGGACTGGGGAGGAGCAGGGAGTGAGATTGGGACGTGGACTGGACCCGGATACTCGGTGCCTGTGGGAGACACCTGGCCTCTGCTGGGCGGGCCAGAGGACAGCCCTGAAGGCTGAGCAGGGGGCGACGTGAGCAAAGCTGTATTTGTGGCTTTAGGAGGAGGTGTCTGGTGGTGGCCTGGATTTGAGAGGAAAGGAGGTGGGAGAGGCCAAAACAGGATCTATCCTGTCTGGAAGCGCTGAGACCTGTGAGGCTGTTGAAATAATGGACTGTCTAATGGTGGTTGGTTGACGAAGGACAGGAGCAGGAAGAGCAAATGAACATGGTCTGGGTCAGAAGTGAGCACAGAGAAATGACCAGGATGGCAGTGATACCATTAAGAGAAGTGTGTTAACATTGATCCTTGGAACAAGTTTTATGGAGTAAAAAATGAATTTTATCTTTGGATTGATTCATTTTTACACATATCTTGAGAGAGGCCAAAAGGAGGAGAAAATTTGGGCCTGGCACTCAGAAGACTGGTTTGGGTATTGAGATATAAACTTGAAATTATCTTCACGGGAAATTATAGTCTGGACTCAGCTGGTGAGCTGGGTTGCCGTGCCATAGAAAGAGGAGACCAGGTCCAGTTGGCCACGTGACGGGGGATGGCACGGGCGGAAAGGACAGACACAGCTGTCAGAGGGGAGGTGTACAGCGTGGAAGCCAAGACTCGGTTTCCAACAGGGGCGAGACAAACCACCTGCCTTGCACAGAGACGCCTGCCAGCGTTGACCATTAGGCGTCAGGCAGGTGCCAGATGGCCAGCGACTTTCAGATGGATGGGAAGCTCCTTTACACTTCTGGAACCAAGTAGGACTTGATGGCATAAGATGCCAGAAGAGATGGGTCAGGATTAGCCTTGGCAAAGACAGGGAGCACCTTTCCTTGGGTGAGGGCATGTTCAAACAGGGGAAGGAATTTGAGGAAACTCAGTCAGATGAGGGGCAGACCAAGAATGGTGGCAGGAGACCATCTGGAGAGGTAATCCCTTGGCCACATGCCGTGGCCACTGAGGTCACTCAGACATGTTCTGGATGCCAGCGGTGCCAGGGCGAGTGCCATGGACCTCAGAGGAGCTGTAGTTGTTGAGTGACCCACCAGCTCTGGCATCCGAGTGTGCCCAGCCCTTCCATGGCCAGTGAATCGGGCTGGGAGAAGGGCCGTTTGCAGCAGAGTCATTTGGAAGAAAGGGGCATCAGTAGCCAAGGTGACAAGGACACAGTGGACGAGAAGAGACGTATTTCCAGCCAAGAGTGCTGGGCCTGTGGAAGAGTGAGCCTCAGTCAAGGTCCAGCAGGAGCTGGGTGTAGTGGTGACCACACATCAGAATCCACTTCACATATGTTTAGCACCTTGCAGTTTTACATGATCTAACTGACTGCTAGAACAGCCCTATGAGATTGATACCAGTTCTGGAGTTGACAGAACAGGCACACAGTGTTACTTGTTCAGTATCCTCTGTGAGTTAGGACTCACCCAGGACTGTGGACTTCATGCCCGGGGCTGCCCGCACTGTCCCAGGAGCAGGGAGCAAGGGCTGCAGAGGCAGCTCGCGGCGCCTGACAGCCTCGGGGACAGTGGGCTGTGAGTGGGCTCAGTGGACTCCGGAGGGGGCATGGGCAGCCTGGCAGGGGCGTGCCGCACCTCACGGCTGTGTTTTGTTTGGCCAGGACAGGATTTTTAGGTTGCTTTTGGCCTTTTGTCTTTTATTTTCATAGAATTTGATCGCCAGGGGCTGGGCATGTTCTCTCCTTTGCCACAGTCCCTGCCATCCCTCACTGTTTACATTCAGACCCTCATCTGCCTGCAGGGCAGGATCCAGGCTCTCGGTCCCTCCTCCGGGTTCCTCCCTGGAATGTAACCTTGGAAATTGAGACTCAAGTCAGTGATCTCATTCCTCTTTCCAATCTCTGTCATTAACCATCACTGGTTAGAAACGTGTTTTAAATACACACACACACACCAGATGATAGAAAATTTAAATGAAATCTTTTTTCTAAAAATTCACGTGATTCTAATTCTTTATAAGTTTTGACTACTCAATTGGTATCTGACCCTTTTATATACGGGAGTGGACAAAAGTAAGTTGTGAGTACACAAAAGTTTGTCCTTGTACTATTTATTAGTTGGTATTTTCCATATGAACAACTGTAACCTGTTTGCCCACCCCTGCACATTTAATCAGCCAGCCTGTAATCAATTCTGAAATGATTTTGGAGCTGTCCAGGGTGATGTATTAGCTTCCAAGGAGCTCAGTACTTTGATTTCTGATTTTTCATAGATGCCGGAAAAGCAAAATCAAAAGGTAGAACAAGAATTTTATGAATCACAGGAGCTGTGGGCTTTAGTTTGCTCATTTGGCAAACCTGTGGAAGGCCTGAGCGTCCTTCCTCTTACTTAGGGTGTGAGGTTGCACCCCTGATGTCCAGCGAATCAGGAAACTGTTTAGCAATGACAGCAAGAGTTTTGTGCTCCTTCTGCTCACAGAGGAGAGCAGACGGACTTCCGCCCGTAGTCTCTGCTCTTCTGCAGCCCGTAGGTTCTGGACGATTTCCAGCAGCCATGCTGCTTAATAAGTAAATTCACAAAATCTGGGCAGACCTCCAAAACCTGAGGTTTTGCTCAAGTTCTCTTTATTTGTGGGTTTGTTTCAGCTTCTAAAAAATCTCTCCGTAAAATTGGTACAATATATTTCAACCCCTACCGTAATGTATAAGTAAAATTTGACACAGGTTGTTCATATTTTGAGAACTTCTGATAACATAGCTATCAGAAATATGAAGGTCTTTGCTTAATCTTCTATTATGTGTCAAATAGTATTGAAATATAGTTGTGAAATGTATTCACTTATTCTAATTTTAGGCAAATTTTTAATGTATAGGATGACACCCATAAATATTTCTAGATTGAAAAACAAAAATTTTACTCCATAAAATGTCATAACTTCAAAAGTTAATATGTGGATGGGAAATATAGGCTGCTATTTGCAAACTTTCAGTTTCTTTTAGAAAGTTTTAGGTTAACATTAAAATTTTGGTTGAACCAGATCTATAGCTTTAATATTAACATCCTGGTTATTACCATCCTTTTTTAGTGTTTTTATAGCAAGTTTTTAATTTTAAAGAAAAAAAAGTTATATAATGGATGGTATTTAATTCTTAATGTGAATGTCAAATATTTGAAACCACAACTAATATTGTGAAAGCCTCAGGAATTTGTGCAGTAGCTATTAGGGACTTATTTCCGCCCACAAAAATAGACAAATCAAAAACCTCACCAATTCAACTCAAGGAAAAGATTATTAATATGTGAAGTTAATTTTGCAAGATAATCCATATCTTTATACAAAAGCATAGGTTTAACTGCAAACAGTGTCATTCCTGGCTTCCAGGGTTGCTCGTACTATTCAGAAACGTAGCCATTCTAAAATGCTGATGACCCTGTCAATTATCATGTATACAGGTTATATGATAAAGTAACAAATGCTCTGTGTAATTAAGTGACGGTAAGAGCAGTTTCCAACTCAGAATGTTGTTGTCAGCTAGTCACTACATAAAAGAAAATATAATCCTTCATTTTCTACCTTACCAAAGATAAAGATGAACATGGTATTTTCTCTTTGTAAGTTTTAGATTTTCCCTTGGCTGCAGACTGCCACTACACCCCACCCCCCCTTAGGTTATCAGAGAGGTCACATGACAGTGCCTCATTGTCATGTGATCTGGCATTGTCATGTGATCTGGGGCAAAGAGAATGGAAAGTGCTTCTTTGTATGCACATTCTTCCATGGGTAGATGACCAGTTTCCCCAAGTGTCTTTGATATTTGAACTTGAATATGAAAACATTGCTTTCTAATTCTAGCTCCAGCTTAGATTGTCTGTGGCTCTTCCAGTTGTTCTGGAAAATCAAAGTATGTTTTCCTTCCTCAGAGGTGTTGGCAAGTCAGGATTCATAAAACACTTTGATGACAAGCCACAAGGCCATGAAGCATTGTGGTCAAGAGCCAGGCTTTGGAAACAGACCAAGCTAGGTTTATATGTCTTCTCTGCCACTTATTGTGTCCTTGGACAAGTGTGTAAACCTCCAGTCCTTAGTTTCCTCATCTGTAAAATAAGAGTAATATAATGGTTATGTCATAAGACTGATGTCAAGATTAAGTGAGCTGATATATGCAAAATGTAATAGCATGCTCCTGATAAATAGCAGTTATTATTCTTTTGTATATGTATGTGTACAAGAGTTACCAATAGATAACTGCCATATTTACTGATAAATGCAATTAATTGAGATTCAGTGTCAATTAAAAGTGGGAACCTAACAATCTCAAAATATCCTAGGCCATTTAACTGCTAAGATGTGAAAACTGTTTTTCATCCTGGGATTTTACATATCTGTTCCCCTTAAACACAGTTCCCAAGGATGGCCTCAAAAGCCAAGCTGCATTTGAAGAAATGAGGACAAATTACATCAAAGAGCTGAGGAAGATGGTAACTAAGTGTCCCAACAATTCTGGGCAGAGTTGGCAGAGGTTCTATCAACTGACCAAGCTTCTGGACTCCATGCATGATGTGAGTATTGTCCTTTGATGCCTCTTCAATGAAGGGTCAGCAACCACACACTGTTCGCCAAATGAAGTAGGAGAGTTGAGAAAGTTCTTGGGACTTGGGAAGAGTAAAGGTCTGTTATCGAGTGGGAGGCAGCAGGAGGTGAGAGCTGACCAGGAAGGAAATTTTCCTCCAGATCACGTTTGTAACAAACCTCCTTTCAAGCCAAGGGTGTGGCTTTCCCTGGGAGCAGGACCAGAGGTACGTGCACCACCAGGGCAGAACCCGTGTCCCGGCCCGGGGTCGGGTCAGGTTTCACATTTCTGTGAGCGATTTAGGAAATGTTTGGCTAGTAGACCTGTTTGCTTTCACACTGCTCAGTGTCCATCTTCTACAACTGTTAATCTAATAACCCAATCTTTTAAAAACATTATTAGTGGTCCAGGGCCAGCATGTATCATCTCAAATTTGAATCTTATATTCACTGTTCTTCATAGGAGTCACCTTTCTTGTCTTAATGTAAATACAGAAAGCAAATTCTGAGATTGTTTTTTCTAACTTAACCAGTTATAGATGCAGCTGAGGTAGTGGTTCTCAACCTTCCTAATGCCACGACCCTTTAATACAATTCCTTATGTTGTGGTGACCCCCAACCATAAAATTATTTTCGTTGCTACTTCATAACTGTAATTTTGCTATTGTTATTGATTGTAATGTAAATATCTGATATGCTATATGTGTTTTCCGATGGTCACGACCCACAGGTTGAGAACCGCTGGTAGAGGTTTCTACAAAAGATTGATTTGAATCACTTGCTTTATGTCATTTAAAATGTGCTTCTTGTTTCACTTTGTGTCTTCTCCCATTCTGGCTGGGCAAAAAAAGAAAGTTGTATCAT